TTTCCTGTCCAATTTTCCGTGGTTTCCAATGGACATACCATACTGTCTGCCCAGGACTCTGAGCTATGCATTCAGGTGGAGGTGGAACTGGATGAATACATGGATTAACAAAGAAAGCACCACGAGGCCATCATGTATAACTGATGCAGACAAATGATTTCCAAAGAGTTAAGCTGTTGCGCCTGTTGTAGACAAATGGAAAGGATGTGACATTTCATGGCAACATGGCTGTAGGGACTGACTGTCGTCAGCTAACACATTTTGTGAGCATTAATGCCTAGTATTGACAAGGTTATATGGCACTTAAAAATGCATTAATCAAAATGCATTAACTGGCAAGTCTTAAAAAAACAAAACTAAACCACAAACCCTCTTAGTATATGTCCCAGTTGTAATAGAACAGAATATTCCATTTCATGCTGAGGGAATATTGCTCTATGTTGATATTGATGAATATTTTTAAAAAGAAATAGCAAAGCTTCTGTAAAAAAACACCTTTTTCTTTGAGACTAGGTAGTGCAAAAATAATGTCATTTTGTGTATATAGACTGCATTTTTCTTAAATAAGCTGGTCACATGCTATCTTTTCTCTTCTTCTTCCACAGCCTAGCCATGTAATGAGCAAAACAAAGATACGTAATTTCAATCAGACCTTTATTTACTGTTGAAGGGATACTGCAAAAGAAATTGCAAAAGAAAGTAAAAGACGTAATTAATACTGTGATGAGCAAAAGGAATTGCAGATGCAGAATTTCATTAGGAAAAAGTCAAGCAGAAATCAGTTTTACTTAGATATGACAAAGGTATTAATTACAGTTGCTTGGATACTAATAATAATTTCTAAACAAAAATCCAATTTTAAAAAAATTCAGCACAAATAAGTTGGTAACTGAAGAGTGAAGAAGCATTGTGCTATTTATAGGAATCCCTCTTGTCTTGGGGCAAGTCCAGCCAGTTCATGAACAAGATGTTACCGATCCTATATTTATGTATATTATTCTGTCACTGTTTGGTTTTTTTGTTTGTTTGTTTGTTTGTTTTAATTCTGGCAATGTGTAGAGTATCCTCGCTTGTGATTTGACTGATACTTATTATCACTGCCTGTCTACCTGCAACTTTTGGTATAATACTTGGGAGTCCCAAAGACAGGAACTTGTTCCTGTTTGTATAGAGCATCATGACAAACATCCCGGGATTTATAGATCAAGGTATTCAGCCACTGGCTGGTGATTCCTCTGGCCTGTTATGGGGTGCTCTCCTTCCTAGAAGGCCATTGGCATTAAAGGATGGCTCAGATGTGTTGCTTTGGCAGTAGTCTCCTGCTTGTGGTTGTTCTTTTCCACGGGCTTTATGGTTCCTCCTCATCTTGATGGGCTGTCATGTGGTAAAAGAAGAGCTATGGGGCTCCCAGGAAAGTTGGCAACCAGGAGTGAGGCTGCCACTGCTGGAACAATTCATCCTGCTCCCTGTCCAGATACTCATGAATTGCTCCAGGGGTTGCAACCTGCTGGCAGCTTCTTCCTTCCCAAGAGGTCCTCAGGTGCTGGCACACAGGCAGGACATGTGTGCGTGTGTCGGCGCGGGTTGCAGTTGATCCATGGGTGTGTAGTAGATCTAACGCTTTGGGAAGGAGTCTTGACTGTGTGTGGGCAGGTGGCTGTACAGTGCTTTCATGTAGGTGTGGGCGTGATCCAGAGGTGGAATCACAGCAAGTGCTTTTCCTCCAGCCTCTCAAAACAGGTAGGTCATCTACCCAGCTGGAAGGCCCGGCCACTCCCGCTGTAGGGTTTCCTTTTTGCTTTCATAAAAACAGAAAACATGCCAAAACAATGAAGAGATCCTCAAGTAAGGGAGCATTAAAGCTTTCAGCATTAATTAAGCACTCAGAAGATGGGATAAGACAATTAATTAATCATACATATGCAACTCAGCTCCCTGTTGCACTGGAGAAATTGTTTTCCTTTAACTTAAATTATTATACACTAATTGCTTAATGTATTATAGTATTTTTTTTTCCTTATGTGTTTGGATAATTGCTTTTAGCAACAACTAAATAGGAACTTTGCATAGAACCTTCTACTCAGCATATTAGATACGGTAGACAGGATGAAAAGCAAATTAAATCTTGTGAAAAGTTACACAAGCTGACCTTAATGGACGGTGACAATGTCACTGTGCTTATAGACTGGTCACAGTGTGGCCATGTAAGCACATTTATTTTCTGAGCCTGCTTAATATTTTCTTTGTATTGAAGAATAAGAAACAATTTGCTATATAAAATGGTTTGGTAAAGGTCTACTAGGGCTGCATGAATAAAACCCAACAACTGACTTTCAACTCGTACATAGCCTTTACTTAAAATATTTGATATTATTTTGACTAGAATAGAATAAGCTATGTCAGTTGGAAGGGACCTACAACAGTCATCTAGTCCAACTGCCTGACCAATTCAGGGCTGACCAAAAGTTAAAGCATGCTGTTAAGGACATTGTCCAAATGCCTCTTGAACACTGACAGGCTTGGGGCATCGACCACCTCTCTAGGAAGCCTGTTCCAGGGTTTGACCACCCTCTTGGTATAGATCCCCTCTGGTGGGGAACTTACCTGACATATTGTCAATAAATAAAAATCTTGATAAATCCTGCATATCCTGGGAGACCCTTCCCACTGAATCAGCTAAGGCACGTGGTGTTTCTGATGCTGTAGGAAGATCCATACAGACCAGTCTCTGAGGCTGTAGAGAGCCCTGCTCATAAGAACATAATCACAAAAATTCTGCCCACAGACAGTTTTTTTAAAGCATTTTAGTTTTGAGCTGTTGTCATTAAGATTTTGGAGTCATCAACGTTGACATTTATACTTGTTTGTGCTGGAGACCTGTTGAACTCAGGAACATAATGTCCAGTGAACCATTGCATGAAGTAAAGGTTTATCTGTGTCACTAAATTTTTAAGTAAAGCACAGCAGTACATTAAAAAACTTTCAGTTTCTCTCTGTCATCCAGAATAAGTTGTATAAAATATGAATGCTCATACTCATCATTGTTCTCCTACTTTACAGTATTAAGATATTTTATATTGCATCATAGCTGATCATGATAGTAGCCACTATGTGAGCACATGGACTCCAACTTTTTGGAGTCATCGTGATCCTGAGGAGAATTATGCATGCACATAGCTTTATGTTGTTTACATAATCTACTGGATGTGAATAGCACTGTTTTCCATAAGATAAAAAACAGTGAAGAAGTAGTAGTAGAGTATTAAACTAAGGTAAATAAGCACTTTGTAAGTGTTTCTATACAGAATCTCACAGTACAGTCATCTTCTTAAAAAATAGAAAATATTCTAGCAGTTAGCTGGACCTGACTTTTTTTAACATACTGACTGATATTTACCTGAGAGAACAGCCCGTTGGATGGCTGAGCTACCCTCTTATTTCATTTGGTGGCATTTGGAACAGGACACGCTGTCTTTGTGTGGTAACTGACAGTAAAAGCTGGCTATTTTGTGGCCACTGAAGGAAAGCCTGGTGGTGTTACCGCTCTTTGCAGCCTGTTGACATCAATAGTTTTTCCTTCAGCCTAAACACCTTTGATCAAGGGCTTGGCATGGAGTGGAGCATTTTTATTGGAACCAGTGGAGCTCTGTGCATGAAAGGACCTCAGTAGGGCATGTTCTTCTTCAGCAGTTCACTTTTGGAGGAACACGCCTGTGGTCATGCAGGGAATGTGTTTCCCTGGCAGATAGTGAGGGTGCTCTGCCTGGGCAGTAGCTGGAGAGATCGCAGTTTGAGTAACCTTGTCTTATTGTGTGATTGTGTGACATGGCTCTAACTTATTTGTAAATGAGACCAAATGCCAGATGCATCTGATAAATTAATTCTTTCTAATAAGTTGTGTTGTATTTATTGCACAGTGAGAAAACAGAGGAGTTGTTTCTTTTTAAAATATGAGAACTTTGTCGCAAAAAGCTTCAAATTACTTAGTTTATTTTTTTTTTAATAGGGCACTGATTAACCTATTCAATACTGTCTCATTCATCAAGCGAGTTCTTCAGGAAAAGACATCCTGTCAGGTGCAGCAGACAAACCTATGAGCAGCATTGCTACTGTTAATGACTCAGAGAATGACTGCAAGAATTGTAAAATCATACATTATTATCTAGCAGGCATTGATCATAATTATATCACTGATAAAGACAAAACATATCAAATATTGTGTTTTAAATATGCCCTTCAATGAATGAAAAAAATGCCATTGAAATAATTTCAGTGATAGCTGCGTGATCCTTCTGAATGCAAAATGGAAATGTTTTGCATATCTTCGGGATGAAAGGAGTTACCACTCTAAGCTATTCACTTACTAATTTTCATTTAATGCTCATAGTATATCAGACATTATAGATCTTTCACCATTTGGCTTTATGACACTGCAGAACCCTGATAACTATGCTCTGTGTAAAATGTAATTCCCTGGTTTACCTGCCTGCTTGGATTGGACTGCAGAATCTTAATTTGCTGTCATGGTTTCCATGATCCTTTGCTTGTGTCATATTGTTCATACAATGAACACATTGTGCATGCAGCATAGCCTTCATCTTCTTAAGGCAGAGTACAGACCCTTTCATCCTTGCAAAATGAATAATTAAGCTAGGATTTTAATATTTGTGTTTGCTTTGGGGTTTATTAGCTCTAACTGTGAAAACTAAATCATTTTCTATGCTCCATCTGACTGGCTCTTGAAAAAATGGACCAGGGTTTTCCATATACCTGTTCTGTGGTTTTAAGCTATCTCAAAATAGCACTGTTGTAGAAATGGACTGTACTCTTCTGATTGAATAGCTGGCGTTTTTATCATTACGGCTTGAGGTGTGCACAAGGACCACAAGTGTGGTGCAAAACTAAGGAGGCTGATTGTCACTGGTAAGGTCCTATGGTGTAATGTAATTCTTCTATTGTACATGCCTTGCCTGAATTTGTTTTTTTTTTTGTTTCTGCAGACTCCAGAGGAAGGAGCCTCTACAACCATCTATGCAGCAGTATCGCCTGAGATGGAAGGAGCTGGCGGCTGCTACCTTTACAATGAGGAAAGGACAAAATCGGCTGACGTAGCATATGATGAGGAGCTGCAGAGAAGGCTCTGGACAGAAAGCTGCAAGATGGTTGGAATTTCTGATGAATCCAGCAGAGTTCTCTAGAAGAAGCCAATTCCAGCTGGGTAAATGAAATGCATTGACAAGCATCTTAGGTGAATTCTTGCAGCATCAGTCATCATCCTGGAAATCACTGTTCAGTCTAAAGGCAAACATGAACAGCTCTGTTCTTCACTTGAACCCCTAATCTGTTAGGGTGTGGGGGGAATATTCCCACAGAAAGATGTAGTGGTTGGTTTTAAATCTAACCATCAGTTTTGTAAATCATGATGTTTCAGTCTGTGATTAAAATACAATCTTTAACCTTGTGCGGAGTTGAGTTTTCATTTTTTGTTCAACATAAAAAAAGACTTTACCTGGTGAGCATGTTGTGTCTGTGGCATGCTGAACTTAAGCCACCTTTGTACATATAAGTTACTCTTTTCTAATCAGTTTTAAAAGTTGCAGCTTTTTTTTCCTTAACTTTCATTAATCTTTAAGACACTTTATAATGAATGTCTGCTTGTTCTAATGCAGACATTTGGCAGTCATGATCATTGTGTTGTTTCTGTCAAAACATTAATTTTATACGTCAACCTTTTATCCAGAGGTACTAACTGAAGATCAGAACCAAAAAAATGTAAATAAATAAGGTCTTCAGACGGGATACCGAATGCAGTTGTTTTCAGTTCGAGTTCACCTGTCCTTTAAAGGTGAGCCATAAGAACGAGGAAGGGATCAAACATAATAATGGCAACACTGGTTTTGGCAGAGGATGCAGTTGGCCTGTTGTCTTGGCAGTGGGCTAAGATTACTTTTCTCCTGAACCTTTGTAAACTTGCATCCACAACTTCTTGCATTTTCCTTTGCAAGGAGATTCACTCATCTACTGCCCATTGCATCAAGAATCACCTCCTTTCATTGGTTTTGAACCTAGTTCATATGAGCTTCAAAAGTAGAGTTCATGATTTGGAAGAGACAGCAAACAATTAATGCCAGTCCACTTTTTCCACATTGCTAAGGGTTTTGGAGACTTCCAAAATGTTCCCCATAAACTGTCTCTTTGCCATGTTGAAGAGTAGCCCCTGCCTACTCATCTGATTTACACAGCAGCAACAGGGTATTTTCCCTTTTGTTATGTATTTCTTTCCTAAAAATTCCTAACATGTTTGATTTTTAATTTTATTTGACTGTCTCTGAGTGTGGAGCTGATATTTTGTATGAAACTGTTCTTGGTAAACCCTAAGATTTCTCTTCTGAAGTGGTCAGTTCAGATGCCTTCAGTTTTGAACATGCTTCAGCGTGTATATAGTTTAGGGAACTCTACCTATGTCTGCCAAAGTGAAGCTTCAAGAATGCTGTTCACATCCATGGAGTAAAGATCAAAACAGACATGTGGCAATATAAAGATAGTCTGAGTTTCTACAAGCTCAAATAACTGAAGGAAAAAAATGGATTGAAGATAGACACAACATTTTAATGGGGAGGGTGATAAACCATGAGAATAATTTACAGAGAAACTTCCCCTGGAACTTTCAGTCAAGTTTAGAAGTCTCCCCCAAACACCTAGGAGGCTCTGGGGAGACCTTATAGTGGCCGTCCAGTACTTAAAGGCGGCCTGCAGGAAAGATGGGGAGGGACTCTGTATCAGGGAGTGTAGTGATAGGACGAGGGGTAACGGTTTTAAACTGAAAGAAGGTAGTTTTAGATTAGATATTACGAAAAAATTCTTTACTGTGAGGGTGGTGAGGCACTGGCACAGGTTGCCCAGAGAGGTTTTGGATGCCCCATCCCTGGAAGTGTTCAAGGCTGGGTTGGATGGGGCTTTGAGCAACCTGGTCTAGAGGAAGGTGTCCCTGCCCATGGCAGGGGGTTGGAACTAGATGATCTTGAAGGTCTCCTCCAACCCAAACCCTTCTGTGGTTCTATGATCTCTCCTCAGCGAGAGAATCTTTCCAAGCATGGACTCTCTGACTAGGGAGCCTGAACTCTTGCTGTGAATGGAGTAAGCTCTACCCTACTCCCATCTCATTCATTTTAGGTGTCATCTGAAAAAGCAGCATAATCCTATAAATGTCCTTGCATTTCCTTTTTTAAGATATACACAGCAAAAGAGACCAATAGGCAGATGCAAACTTTATATTCACTTCAGGGCACTGGAAATCACTGCATGACAGAACTAAGTGCAAACTCAGTGTTGTGCTCTTATTTGCAGCAGACTAGAAACAATATGAATGTGTTCCTATGCACTGAACCCCGCACTAATATCTCTTTTGGGCTTTTTAGCTCAAACCTGGTACTTCCCTGACCATATCTCCAGCCTTTGGTTTAGAGAGAGATCATATCTAACTGAAAGAAAGCATACTAATATGCCCAGAGACTAGCAAGGAGATGCAAAGACAAAAAAATAGTATGAACAAAGAAAAGCAGATGAGAACAAAAATAATAAAAAATCTGAAGGAGAGCATATTTCCTCTCTGAATTAAGCCATGCATGATTTATTCCTAGCTGCTTAGAGTTAGTATATACAAGGTTTAGCAGCAGGAAATTTATCACTCAGTCACTGTAGCACTTTCTTTGTATGACTGGCTGACTTTTTGTTTTTTTGGTAAGCGAACGTAGTGCTTGTGAAATGTGCCAGACTGACACTCTGGGAACTAAATTCCTCTGTTTATTCACGGTTCATGCACAGGATGCAGTAAGCCTGCTAGACAGCCAACATTTTGATGTTGCCATAGCATTCCCACAGAACATCATTGCTGCTAGAAGTATGTCCAGGATTACTCAAACTAGATGGGACCAAATTACCTTCAGTTTTAACTCTCTCGAAGCTCCACAATATTTGCACAAGCAGTTTCAAGTGGCAGAGGGATTGGTAAAATAGCAAACAGTAAAGAGAGCTAGTCACACTTTCAGTGTAATCTGAACCACTTTGTTAGCAGTCTCAGGCCAATGAAATCTGTTTTAAACAACACTGAAAACATGCTTTGTGAGAACCAAGAACACAGATTGTGCCTGCATGAGGGGGAAAAAGAAAGTGTCGTCAACCCGGGGATTTCTAGAATGGTGCAGTGCCATGAAGTTATAGTTGAGCTAGTTGCAAAAGAGTTATCTCAAGAACTAAAAGCAGAAAACTGTGTCAGCTCTGCAATGTCACATAAGCATGTGAGCTTGTCTTGAGCAAAATCCAGTGTCATCATAAAGTGCTGTGTGTCCCTGGGAGCACTCACTTGTGTTACTGTTACAAAAATCCAAAATAATCCTTAATATATCTATTTAGGAAAAAAAAAAGTGTATGAAGCATGTAGAAGGAGGACAATGATTTTACTTCCACACATAGAAATGGTAAGAGCTGATTTATTTTTCACATTTCAAGGACATGGAATTTCTGGAGATCTGAGAAACCCCGTGTTTCACTTCACTGAAGACATGGCTGAGAGATGGCTTCAGTCCTTGCACTGGGTGCATATATACAGAAAAAATACCTGAGAGCTTTTTAACCTTGCAAAGAAAGGCAAAACAAGCTCCAATAATTGTAAATTAAAGTTAGACAAATTAATCTTCCAACATGAAAACAGATCCTCTCTCTGTGAGAGTAATTACATATTGGAACACGTAGATCTGATATCTGAAGATAATGAGAAGATGCCTCTGAAAAGATAGCTGGGAAGGCGGCCAGGTAGGCTTCTAGGCGAAGTAGGTCAGTCACAGTGAAGTCATACTTAGATTCTGCCTCACGACCAAAGTGACAGCGCGTATTTTGGTTAGTATGAGAGTGACCCATTACTCACAACTTGTAAAATGGATATTTCCATGCCAGTATTCCACCCAGGCTAATGTTTAATTAAAAAACCTAGGTGCCTTTACCTAGTCTCAAAAAGGCACACAAAATCTGTGGTCCAGTTCAAGTCTGAGATCAAGAGAAGCATCTGCTATGGGCCACCGTGGTCTGATCCTGTTGACCTTGGTGAGGGAGTGAAACAATTTCAAACCAATATTTTATTCTTTTCTAAAAAAGGATTACTTTTCTTTTTCAGCTGCTCTGGAAAACAAAAATTAATCTCAAAAAAGGACAAAAAGAGATGAATACTGTTTTGAAGGATAGTTCAAATAAATATTACAGATCTTACTGCAATGAATGCAGTTATCTAGGAATTTGATAAGACAATGTTATTTAAACAATGAGCTTGCACAGGAAATAAATAATGTGCTGACAAAGAGCCGTAAGTTTCTTAGGAAAAATATTAACTTTTTCATTAATTAACTAGTTTATCTGTAAACTGTATGGAAATTAATTAGGTACTGAAAGAGTAAGTGCTGTAATTTGTGTGTGAATACACTGTTATTCACACATAATAAAGTAGTTGCATCCTTGCTTAAGCCCTAAATGTGGAACCTCTAGCTGCACTTCCACAATGTTATTTTATAAATATTTAAACTTTATAGTTCAATTTTTTGCACAACTATCAATTACTTTAGAACACAGTGAGAAGTGATATACCGTAGAAACAAAGGACTTCATTATTTCACATCAGGCTTGCTACTGCCTCTTCCAAATGCAGAGTAGTGTTAGCCCTAAATATAACAATACATGGCAGATACTTAAATCCTCATCCTAAATAAGCTATCTACATGCAAGCTTTGGCTCTTGTACAGTTCTGGTGTTAGACTATCCTTGTTCATTACATGACATGGTTTATGCTCCAGCTGCCTCCATGGAAAGACAAAACCAGATTCCAGTGAAGTTAACATGAACTCTGTCACAGATAAGATAAAAACACGTGATTTTTAAGAGAGCAAAGGCTGAGGACACTGACCAGTCTGCAACAGTTGAAGAAGTCAGTGCAAAATGTGAAGTGTATTGTACAACATCAGGCCAAGCAAGACAGATAAGATGTTATTATGAACAATTATTTGAAGGTAATTTTATTCCTTTTTAAAACAAACCCACTGTGTTTCAGTGGGTTTACCCACTGTGGTAACATTGACAATGCTGTGAGCATTGTCAGGAAGAAAACAGACCAGTGACAAAGAGTGCTGTTTCCAGATGCATGTAGTTATTGGCTTCCATACTGTACCCATCAACCCTTGTTAGCATCTCTCCCCTTGGAAATGGACCTGAGCCAAGAATTCCTTTCACACGGGCAATCAAGAAGGGTCAAAAAGTAGCAGTGACCATCATTAATTTAGACAAACACTGTCTAGATTGAAACCAATCGCCTTAAAGTGAAAGACTTCCTAATCCCAGAAAAGAAAAAGAAAAAAAGAAAAAGGAAAAGAAAAAAAAAGAGAGAAAGGTCAAAAAACAGGCTATGGCACTTTTTGAGTGATATTAA